AGAGAGAGAGAGAGAGAAGACCCTAATAGACGACGATTCGTTCGATTCGCACGTTTTTACTTTATTTATTCTTTCCATATTTTTCCGGTATTTTTTTTTTTTTTTTTTTTTATTAATTCTCATATTTTGTTTGTTTGTTCTTTTTTTTTTTTTTTTGTAACATAATCATTTATTACGACTCGAGTTATAAAGAGATAAAACGCAAAATAGATCTTGGAATATCGTTTATCATCGTGATTCGATATTTCACGTGGAAGTAATACAAGAAGAACGATTTTCGAGAATAAGATTTCTTTGTACCTTGATAACCTTGAAATAACCAACGAGAGGAGTATAATACAATCCAAAAAAAAAAAAACATTCACCGTTTTCGGTTATTTCCTGTGCGAATCAACGCGAACTCGTGGCCGTAGGATGTTAGAAGAGAGATAGCGAAAAATGGAAAGATAGATAAAGTGAAAAACGGAAAGAGAAAGAAAGAGATAAGGGCAGAGAGCGAGAGAGAGAGAAAAAGAGAGGGAGAGAGAGAGAGAGAGAGAGGGATGAACATAATAAGAAAGAACAAAAAATAAGGAAATAACGATGGGATAGTAGGAACGAGCCGATTGATGTATGTTAATAGGTATATTATACGTATGTTAAGTAAAAAATAAAAAAGGGCGGGAGTAAGGGGAAGGTTGGGGGGGGGTGAGGAGGAGGTCGGCGGGCGTTATAGGCTTTCGAAATAAAACAAACAAGCTGATAGAGATCTGATCAAACATTTGCAAATGGGAAAAGGATACTTAATTCGAACTCATTATGGGTATGGTTACGGTAGGAGTATGAACAAACACGGATGTAAACAGAGAAACAGAAATTGTAACTGAGCAGAAAAAGAAGTATAAAAAAGGGAAAGGCAAAAAAAAAGAAATGGGGGAAGAAAAATAAAAAAGATTAAAAAGGAAGAACGACGAACGAAAAAATGGAAGAACACGAGAGAGATAGAGAGAGAGACAGAGAGAGAATGAGAAAAAAGATAGGGAACAAAATAATTAAAAAGAAAAGGGGAGAAACTAAAATTAATATAGCGAAGTAAAGTAAAAGTTAACGAAGTTTGTAATGAGTTAAAAGAAATGTAGAATACAAGCTAAAGGATATGATATACGTAAAGAGAGAAATAGAGAGAGAGAGAGAGAGGGAGGAAAGGTGAGAGATAGAAAGATAGATAGAGACAGAAAGAGAAAGAGAAAGAGATAGAGAGAGAGAGAGATACATGGGCCATACGAAAAAACATGTAAAAGATGAATGTACGAGCGAGACGAGCAGTAGAGATGTTACTGGTATATATATATATATAAGAGAGAGAGAGAGAGAGATAGATAGAGAGAGAGAGAGAGAGAGAGAGAGAGTTTTTTTTTTTTTTTTTTTTTTTTTTTGTTTTTTATTGGCTTGGCTTGGTTTGGTTTGGTTTGGTATTTTTGGATAATGAACGATTAGCGAGAGCTTGAGCTGCTGCAACTTACCGCGGTGTAAAGGAACTCCAGAACGTACTACGTGTGGGAAAAAACCAACGAGAAGAAAGGGCGTTACCACGGTCACAGAACCCGCATTTGCGGGTAAAAAACGGATGCGCGTACGCAGCATTGCGCGAGCAACCGTATTTCAAAATTCGCGTTAACATGTTTTAAATATAGTCAGAGATAGCTAGCTAGTTTTTCTTTCTTTTTTTTTTTGTCTTTTTATATCTAAAATTTTTGTCATCATTCTTCTTTGTACATTTTTGTTCTGATCTCAATCTAATTATAGCATTGTTTTGCTTTTTTTCAATTTTTTTTTTTTTTTTTCTACGATTTTATTCGATCATATTTTTTTTTTTTTCTTTTCTTTTTTGCACAATATACTCGTACCCCTCCCCCCAGGTCAATCTCTCTCGCTCCTTTTTTTTTCCTCGGTTAGTACGTTATTTTTTTCTTTCCTCTTTTTCTCGATTTTCGCAACCCCTATCTTCTTTTTGTTAACTTTTTTTTTTTCTTTTTTTGTAATTTATATTCAGAGAAAAAAGAAAAATGAAAAAAAAAAAAAAAACAGAAAGAAGAAAAAAAAAATCCAGAATCGATTAATAATTGGTCACGGCAAGTTCGTGACGCGTACGCGACAAGAGTCGATCACGTTCGACGAGCGAGAGATTATTTTTTTTTTCGACGCCATAGTTGACGCCAAAAGTTCGAAATAAAAGAGAGAGAGAGAGAGAAAGAGAGAGAAAAAGAGAGAGAGAGAGAAAGTAAGAGTGAGATTGAAAGTGAAATGAAAGAGAGAATGAGAAATAAGAAAAAGTTAATAGACCCGAAAATTCCCGATTATCGCGAGTACCCGCGTAATTAATTCATCATCACAATCATTATTTTATATCTTGCTTATATATAATAATTACTATATCGTTAAAATATATATGAAATTTTGTTTAAAATGAAAGAGGTTACGAGAAATAGAAAGAAAAAAATGTGATATATAACCGTGAAAAAAAAAGTGAGAAAGAGAGAGAATGCGTGAGTAAGAGAGATAGAGAGAAAATGACAGACAGCGAGAGAAAGAGTGAGAAAGAGAGAGAGAGAGAGTGAGAGAATGAGAGAGAGAAAGAGAGAAAGTGAAAGAAAGAGAGAGAGAGAGAGAGAGAGAGATAGAACCGAGAAATCGAGTGCTCCTCGCAATGTTACGCACGCCATTACAGAAACAATAGACGTAGACACACACTAATCAAGCGTACCCATCATACACGCTATCCTCTCAGTCACGCAACATAACTCATACACTCTCAGACTCATTCAACATAGAGTGGTATAACAATGTGACAGACACAAGTTGGAAACTACGCAGCGTACACACACACACACACATATGTATATGATATATATACATATATAAAATATATGATTGTGTGTGTTTATAAATAAAGTATATAAATAATAAAATAAATAATTATATTTATATGTGTATATATGTATATACATACGTAATATATGTATCATTTATATATGTTATAATATATGTATGTCCGATATAAACCGGATATTTATGTGTTTTCCAAAAAAAAAATAACTAATCTGATGGATATTTAATTTAGACTATCGGTTATTACGAAAGGATTTTTTGTTCGTTTGACATTTTTTATTTATAATTATTATTTTTGTTGTTTTTGTTCTCAAATTTACGTATTCGTCCAGAAGAAATCTTTCTATCGCTAGGATCGAAACCGTGGCTTTATTTTCTGAAGTACTTTCTCACGAGAGAAAGAGAAAAAGAGAAAATATGAAAGAGAGAGAGAGAGCGATAGTGATAATGTAAGAGAGAGAGAGAGAAATGATCCATCCATTCATCCCCCTTGGGATCGTTTCGACTGCGAGAAGAGATTTTTTCTGGCGACTGATAGATCTTTCCTCGACCGTTTTGAGATATGAGATCCTCTTTCGAACATTGATTACGATATCCAAACGATTTTGATATCAGTCATGAAAGAGAAAGAGAGAAAAAGAGAGAGAGAGAGAGAGTGGAATTATCGAAAGGGTGGCCTATCGTAAAACAACATCATATTGATATCGGTAAGAAAAATGAAAAAAAACAAAGAAAGAAAAAAAGAAAGAAAAACACACGATGAAAAAAATATTGTAAATAATATATAAAAGGAGTAAGATTCTTTTTTTTTTTTTCTATTCTTAGTTAGTGTACGATATTTTTCTTTTTAAATTGAAAATTATATTTAATTATAAACCCCACGCTAATTTTTTTGTAAAGAGAGAACAAGAAGAAAAGAAACAAAAAAAAAATATAATACAAATTTAGGAAAACGTTTGTTTACTCCGTTTTTCTTTTTATATTGATATAATAATTTATTTAATATATGATGTTAAAAATTTGGATTAAAAAAATCAGGAAGGCCACCCTTTCGATTAATAATTGTCACGAGTATCGCGTAGTTACTATAGTGATGATATTCAATTAAGAAATAAAGTACTATGTGTATATATATATATATATATATATACATATATAAATGGTACAATATCCACAAAGTTGAAAGTTATTCTTTTCGTTTTTTTCTTTTTTTGTTTTTTTTTTTTGGAGAAACACAAGAAA